CAGAGACCACACTTTGCGGGGATATGCTGCTAGGTCTCTGCCCTTCTGGGCTGGCCCTAGATCCTTTATCATTTTTTTCTTTCATGAAGCTCTAGCATATCGTCTTCGAAGGGTTGCTTATTCTTCCAAGTTTCCTCTTAGAATATGTGGGTGTCCTTTCTCACTTCTGTGATGTGTCTAAAAAAATGGAAATGTATGAGCGTAAAATTCACACTACCTCTAAGCAATAAAAGAAAATTTGCACTGGAGATGAAGCAGAAGGGCCCTGTGTGGTGGCATATATGAGGCCCCTGAGCCCTCTGGAGGAGATGGCTCCGAGTGTTCTTGAAAAAACCTGTAGTCAGGCAGAATTGTGGCCTTGGTTTTGTTGTTGTTGTTGTTGTTTTTCTGGTCCTTGGAATGACAAGATTGAGTTTTATGGAAGTTCTCACTAAGGACAAGACCAGCTATCACATGACAATGAGAAACCTGGTGGTTAAATTGATGCCCAAGCTGTAATCCTATAGGAGAGGTCTAAATTGAAAACAAAACTGTGATTTTTCCTGGATTATTGTGAAAACCAAAACTTCAAATTTAAAAATAAAAAGTTTAGGTCTAAAACATGGTGCTTTTATTTTCTTAATTAAAAAAATCAATACACAATCTGATCAAGGGTCTTGAATTTGATATTGTTGGTGTCACTTAAATGTAGGAATTACTGAAATATTTTATGGAAAAAGTGTAATGGATATTTTATATCAGAAAATGCTTGAAAGTCAGAGATATGGTCCAATTTCTGCCAATATGTATGAAGGAGAATAGCTGACTTGCTTCCATCTGAAATTATGGTCTGTGCTTTGCTATTCATTAACTTGATTAAATTGTGCTCTATGTCTATTTTTTTAATGAATATTCCTTCAACTAATAGATAATGTTCATCAGTGCATTAAATCATTATCTTATTTGATCATAAAACTCCTACAAAGCAGGTAATATTATTGTCTATTTTAGATATGAAGGACTAAGAGGAACTTTAAAGTACACACCAGAGGTAATCTCAAAAGGGAAATGATAGGCTACATGAATGACATAAAGCCTACAGGTGGGCTGACCGAATATTTGTAAAACAGTTGAACAAAAAGGAGAAAGAAGAAGAAGAAAGAAAGAAAAGAAAAGAAAAAGCCGGGGAATGGTGGGGGAGGAAATGAGCTGGATACAGGACAAGTGGTTTGAACACTAAAACAAAAGTCCAAGTTGAACCATCATCTACTGCATGAAGCCCCCTATATGAGCATCCCTGTGGTCCTACATCCAAGGAGTAGAGAGAGTAAAGGGAAGCACCTATCATATTGCTCACTCCTGCACAGAATCTTACATTAAAAGTGAAAAGAAGTCCTGAATAACTGCAGGCACAGTCTAGGATGGATTTACTAAACTCTTGGACAAACCATCCAAGTCTTTATCTTTGTTACCAGCTCTTTAAGCTCCTCTTTTATGATCTGCTGAATCCTCAAAAAAGCCAGTCATCTCTTTTCTACATTTTCATCATCACCTGGGCCCTAGTAGAGCCAGACTGCTAGTCAGGTGGTATAAAAAGAATTTAGACTTAAAGAAGAATAGACTGAGATTTGCATTTCAGATTTATTGGCTTTAAGCTTCTGGACAAATGACTTAATTTCAAATGGAGAAGATAATGGTTTTCTTATAGGGAGAACACATGGAACAGTGTTTACAAGCTCATTCTCCCCAGCATGATACAGCACTTGCCTACCATGTGTGAGGCCCTGGATTCAATCTCCAGCACTGTGAGGGAAAGGTTCATTGTCTGGACTTTGACATTTATTTTAAAATATTGTTACCTTTGATACATTATGTAATTTCTGCAAGCCTTAATTTTTTCATCTTAAAATGATGTATAATACTCTAATTACACTCATTTCACAGAATTATTATGAGGATTGAATGAGATACCACTTTTGAAATATTTGAAATACTCCCTGACAAACTGTAAATGATAAACAAGTGTTAGCTTTGATTATTATTACTGAAGATCAGTGATAAGGGGCTGGTACAACTTAGCTTCCCAGTGCACAGTAACTACACTTATTAAGATACCATCTGGTGAGTTTTGAGTAATTTGTATGTACATTATTTTCTCTGAGCTGTCAATCTGAGATGTGTATCCAAATTATGAAAGCCTAGCTTTCAACTTATTTTCTCTCTAGATAAATGAGCTTACATACAGAAATAGAGGCTTAGGGTAGAGAAAAAAATCTCAAACAAGCCTAAGTGTTGACTAATGCTCTTGTAAGACCTAGCAGGAAGAATGGTGGTGTTCTGGGTTGAACTGTGTCCCTCAGAAATTCATGTCCACCAGAACCTCAGACCTTATTTGAAAACAGGTTCTTCATAGATATGATGTAGGAGGTTAACATGAGGTCATACTGGCTTGAGGTGGGCCCTAAATTCAATGTTTAGAGTCCTTATAGGAAGTTCATATGAAGATACAGAGATACACAGAGGAAAGCAGCAAGTGACCTGTGACTGTAGAGGCAGAGATTAGAGTGATGTGTCTCTAAACCAAGGAATGCCAAGGATTGTCAGCATCTACCCAAAGCTAGGAGAGAGACATGGAACCAATTCTGTCTCAGATACTCCAGAAGGAGACAATACTACTGACATTCTGAGTTTGGGCTTTTGGACTCCAGAAACTATAAGAGAATATATTTCTGTTATTTTAAGCTACCAAGTTTATGTACTTTATTATGGAAGCCCTAAAAAATGAATATATGAGCAATTTCCAGCTAAAATGAAATGTGACAGCATCTCTTCTCCAGGCAGAATCAGCAAGGATGGGTGAAGGTGTGCGCAGGTGAGTCCATTTATAAAACCTCAGATATTGGGTCCCAGAAGGCTTCGAAGGTGCAGGTGTGTGTTCTATTTTTATCAGTGACCCAATAGAAAGATTCGTGGCCCGGGCACTGCAGGCAACATCAACACAAATCCTTTTAAGCAGGTAGTCAAAAGCTGACTATCTTCTATTTCAAAGACAACACTGACACTAAACTTAAACTATCGAATTAAATAAAAGCTGTATCAGCAGTTTTGAATCCAATGCCTACAATTTTAATCAATTTTACACAAACCAAAAAAAAAAAAAAAAAAAGAGAGAGAGAGATGGGGTTTTGCTTTAAATGTCCAGCAGATGCTTTAAAAGTCCTCATTTTAGCACTTCTCAGGGGAGCTTTCCTGCCAAACTCAAACAGATGTATTCAACAAATAGCAAATCAAGCAAGCAGTGGAGAGGAGCTAAGTCACTAAGTCCCAGTGAGTGTGAAATTACCCTGCAGCAGCTGGAAAGGGGGTGACCAACTGCTTGACTAGTCCTTTAGGGTGGATGGTTACCGTAGTGTCAGAGGCTGAACTGGGCAAACAGAAAGGAAAGAACTGAATCAAATCAAAGCCTGGGAACCTCAGTTTAGCTGGATTTCCTAAAAGTCACAAATGTCACAAGTATAAGTGACCACTCATTTAATCAGCCAATGAATCCTTCATTCATTCAACAAGGTTTTATTGGTTTCTATTATGGACAAAAGAAATGGGATGATGGTGGTACAGTCAGGGACTACAATTATTATGAAGTCATTTCAATTACAACTGGCTTAGAATATAATAGATTTTCAGTAACTGTTTGTCCCCCCAAATACTCCTTGTACAAAACATGTGAAGATAAAATATGAACTAACTTGTATTCAACAAAAACATATTCTTTGAAGAATTGTGCATCACCTAGCTACATTTCCCATCAAAGACATTTTCTTGAATCTCATGTTTGAGTCTCTAAAACTGTAATGCTATTTTTGATTAAAATGCAGCCTCTTTCATATTTTAAAGCACATCTGCTTCCAAATCCCTTTCAATTCCCTTGGCATTTCTGTAAGTTCAACTGTGTCTGTAGTTTTGATTTTCTCATATTTCATCATCAATTTTCAGCCTGGAGATGAGAAAAGTTATGAAGGAATGCTAGGCAATGTCATTTATCAGAAAGACAGCTACAGTACTATGCCTTATCCATGATTGAGATGTTCCAAGACTCCCCAGTGAATGCCTGAAACCACAGGTCATACCAAACCTTATATATCCCGTATTTCCTCATATATGTATACCTATGTTAAAATTTAATTTAGAAATCAAGTACAGTAAGAGATTAATACTTACAACTGCTGATAAAATGAAACAATCATAACATTATTCAAATCTGGTTTCCTGTTTCCCCACTCTTTTCTCAACTGCCATGGGGTGGGTAGTGTGGTTAGATGGCTGATTCACACTGTGGGAAGTAGAACTGAGAGGGAGAGCATGAGATTTCATCATGATACTGAGAATGGCAATTTTAAACTATTTATTATTTATTTCTGGAATTATCCATTAATATTGTCAGACCCCAATTGTCTAAAGGTAACTGAAATTACAGCAAGGGAAACCAAGGGCAAGGGTGGACTACTGAATATTATTATCTGAATCATGTGATATTTCAAACCAGACTAGGGCTAGCAAGTAAGTTTGGGGTCAGAGGTCTAACAGATGTATGTTGGAATTCCAGATCTGAGACACAGGAGCCGATCATGGTATGTTATCAAACTTCTCTAGGTCTCAGTTTATGCTTCTGTAAAAAATGGAATGTTTTAACATCATACAGAGATTCAGTAAGAATGAGATGAGAATATGCAGAGTAGTGTCCCGTCACAGAGTGACAGCATGATAGAAACAGTTTTTATTCTATTTTATTGTTTTATACAATTCCTAAGATATGCAACTAAAATTTACCCTCAGTAAATCCTGTATGACAAAAATCATTTTCATTCAAAGAACAGAGTATCCTAAAATAAGAAGTAGGTTTTTGTTTTTTGTTTTTAACCAAGCGTAGAAGAAGTTTAGTGGTTGGTGATTGCTGACCTTGGCCTAGAGCCTCAATGGGGACAAAAGATTGGGTTGGCCTTTACCCTTCCCTCATGCTAAAGATGGCTGCCTGGGCTACAGATATCGCACCCTCACACCAACATGTGAACCGAGAGAAGCACAAAGTACGGCATTCCTGTTCATCTGCTTCTTTCTTTTCATGGAAAATACTCTTTCTCAAGAAGCATCCTAGTGATGTTTCTTTACATCTCTTCACCGCATCCAGCTTAAGTTTGTAGCCCCAGACCATTGGCAGGTGGGAAACTCACCTGGGGGTATATACATCCTGCTCAGTACCCAAAGCCCAGGTTATGTGAGTTAGGCAGGAAGAAAGTAGGTGGAAAAGGGCCTATTGGTGGGTAATATCACTGTGTTCAGGACCACATTCTTTAATGTTGGAAGGAATAAATCAGTCCCTACTACCTAGGAGTCTATCGGACACTCTCACAGATTTGGGGTGTTCTTTTGTAAAACAAATAGCTCCACAGAATGCCAACATTATACAAAGCTGCTGTTTAATAAGACAGAACATGGCCATTTTGCAATTATATCTGATCAAGCGTGCGCACACACACACAGCTCAAATTACCAAATTAGAAAAATGTTCTATTTTCCTCATGTTGTGGTATGTCGACAAGCATTTGGATACTCCTCCCTTCAGGAGGTGGAGTTTCCACTCCTGTTGAGTGAGCTGGACTTGGTGATTTAATTCTAATAAACAGAATAAGGTCCTGGTGGCAGTGTATAGTTCTGAGACTACATCGAAGAACTCATTGTAACTTGTTCTTCCTGTGCTCCTTCCCTTTTGGATCCCTCATACTATGGGGAGCCATGTTGGGAGCAGCCCTGTGGAAAGGAATTGATTCCTCCTTTAGACAGTCACATGAGTGATGTTGGAAGCTGAACTTTGGCTCCAGTTAAGTCTTTAAGGACTGCAGTACCAGTGGACAGCTTGCATGAAATTTCAAGAGACACCTTAGCTAGCACTACCCAGCTAAGCCTTTGCTGGATTTCCAACAGTTATGAGTGGCATGTGATGATAAAGTATAATTGTTTTAAGCTGATGTTTGGGAGCTAATTTGTTACACAGCAAATATAACTAAGATTCCTAGTTAAATCCAGTAACTACAACTTCTGTCGGTTCATTGCCACTTCAATCTTTTTGCCGCCTTTTTTTTTGGTCTATTTTTTTCTAGTTTATTTTTAAATTTATTTTTATTTCTGTTCTTTTTAGTTATACATTAGAGTATATTTTGACTTATATATTCAAACATGGAATACATCTTATTAAATCAGGATCCAAGTCAACACATGGGCAAATGAACTTGCAGGGGTCCTGCCCTAGTGGGGTCCAGGGGATCCTGCAGGATGAGTGGCATTGGCGAAAAGGATGAGACAGGAGTCGTTCTGTTGGCGCAATCTCCAGAGAGAGAGCTCTAATTCAGCTTTCTCTGAGTCATCTTTTATTGCAATTTTTCTCATATTATGAATTCAGAATATATCATTGATTATACAATTTCAAAACTTTGCCAAGATGTGACATTTCTTTAACCATCATTAGGGGTAGAGAAAAATGTAATATCAATTTACATTTTTCCAGGATGTGATATTTACTTATCAATTATTAAAGGTACAGAGTCATTAATAAAATGTATCACTAATTTACATTTTTCAGATTTTCCCAAGATGTACTATTTTTCCCAAGATATGTATTTTCTTATTAACTAATGCCAAACTACGTAACCAGACTCTAAGTCTCCTAACCTATCGTTAACCTTTAAGTTTAAAGTACACCTGCACTTTATTTCTAATCTAAAATTCCCATCTAAAGAAGTACACTTAAATCTTATACTTAAAATATCTAAAATCTATAAACCATTCTTAAAGCATATCAGAAACCCATACAGCCAAAAACTTAAGAAATCTAAACCCAATAATATAAGTAAAATAATATTTTTAACATTATTCTAAAAATATGTCTTATAAAGCTACTTTAAATAATTCCTACATTTATTCTCATAAAACTGGTTGAGTTGCTTTCTCAAAGAGTTTGTTTCTTAGTCAAGGTACACTAATTCTTATATCTTTATAATAATCTCTCTCAGTAAAAGGCAAGTTCTAAACATCAGTCCACTTACCACCAATATTAACTATGCTCAACATAAGTCCCTCTGTGAAGTAGAAGAGGGTTTATAGAAAAGAGGAGAATGTATCTTTATATGCCTTAACTTTCCTACGTGCAAAACATAACTACAAAATAAAAAACATAAGTATAAAACATAACTACAAAAATAAAACTACATATGGTGGGCTTTGTGCAAATAAGCATAATGATTAGGCTTTCTAAGAGGCCAGAATATGGGCTTAGGTTCTTAGTTCATATAATCAATGTGGTACTTAAAATTCTCATGACCTTTCAGAGAAAGACTACTGTCCATTATCGGTTTTGTCCTCAATGTACTGAGATAGAAGAGCAGCAAAATTCTATTTTGTCCTCGATATGCAGAGGGGTAGTAGAACAGCCTTCAAGGCATGAACTACCTATTATGTTCTAGCCATCTAAAATTTAATTTGGTTTAGCATTTAACATACTCATGCCTCCTGTCAGGAACATGAGCATGAAAATGAAAAGTCCTGATTTCATAAAAAAGGGTCTCATGGTTTTGGTTTCCCACCAGCCAGCATGGCTTTGCCAGCATTCATCCTCACTGTGACTTTGTCAAGACAGTGGGGGAGCTGCTTTGCCAGCACTTATCTTCACTGTGACCTTGTCAAGACAGTGAGAGGGGGAGCGCCTTCACCAGGAACTGAACAGACACTTCATAGAAGAAGTGCGATCAGTTAACAAATATATGAAAAATGTTCAACATCTCTCGCAGTTAGAGAAATGCAAATTAAATCTATTCTGAGATTCCATCTTACTCCAGTCAGAATGACAATTATCAAGAGTACAAGTAATAATAAATGTTGGCCAGGATATGAGGAACAAGATTCACTCATACATTGCTGGTAGGACTGCAAATTGGTGCAACCACTCTTGAAAGCAGTGTGGAGATTCCTTAGAAAACTTGGAATGGAACCACTATTTGATCCAGGTATTCCAGTCCTTGGCATATACCCAAAGGATTTAAAAATCATATACTATAGTGATGCATCCACAACAATATTCATAGCATTTCAATTTCACAGTAGCTAAGCTATGGAACCAACCTAATGCCCTTCAACAGATGAATAAATAAAGAAAATATGGTACATATATACAATGGACTATTACTTAGCCATAAAGAAAAATAAAATTATGACATTTGCTGGACAATGAGTGGAACTGAAGAATATCATACTAAGTGAAGTAAGCCTATCCCAAAAAATCAAAGTCCGAATGTGTTCTCTAATAAGTGGATGTTGATCCATAATGGGTGTGTGTGTGTGTGTGTGTGTGTGTGTGTGTGTAGGAACTTTGGATAGGGAAAAGGGGAGGGAAGAGAAGGGAGGAGGCATGGGGGCAGGAAAGATGGTGGAATAAGATGGAAATCATTACCCTAGGTACATGTATGATGACACAAATGGTGTTACTTAGTGTACAACCAGAGGAATGAAAAATTGTGTTCCATTTGTATACTGTGAATTGAAATGCATTCTGCTATCATGTACAACTAATTAAAACAAATAAATAAATAATTTTTAAAAAGAATCTAATCTTCTTTTTTATAATAGGCACAAACATGAACTCCAAATTTCCCACAGACTCTAATTCTTGTGATATGTATGTGCATATTTTTCAACTCAGTAACTAACCTCAAGAAAAATTATAAATATATTGAAAATTGTCCTAAGCAGTATTCCCTGGTTCCTATTTGCTTCTTTTGATTACTTCTCACAAAGAATACCCTTCACCACCACCACTGGCAGCTAAATAGAGGAGATAAGGCCCAGAAAAGTCTTGGTGTGGCAGAGAAACAGGGCAGAAGACAGCTGTGGAGTCAAGGCCTGTAACTGAGAAAGGATGAGGTGCCAATTCTGTGAACTGGCTGTAAGAGGAAATCCATGTGCATTTTGACCAAACAACAACAACAACAAAAACCAAACAAACAAACAAACAAACAAACAAAAAAACCCCAAGAAATTGGAGTTGTCTGCTGACATATCATTTTGGAGGAAGGGGTGAGGTGAAATTTGATGTTTCAAATTCTTCCTCATACCTCCCCAACTCTGCCTTTGCCAGAGAAGACTCTTAACGATCATAGATAGCCATTCTCTTAACACTGGCTCAACATCATACCATATGCAAAACAAAAGGTACATGTATAATATGGTTAAAAAAAAACACGAGGCATAGTCACATGGAAAGTTTAGAAAGAATATAAACAGATAAGATTAAATTAATCAACAAGGAGCATTGCATTAATTCAAAGAGAAAGGACACTGATGTTTGGGGTGGCCTTGGAGATAGGTGAACTTGTAGAATGATTTTTGCCTTGTGTCTTTCCCCAGATATAATTCAGTATATTTAAGTCATCAGCCTCCTCTGTTTTGTCTGTCTTTGCTTACCTCACATTAGATTCCTCCATACACCTCAGAGTCCCAAAAGTAGAGCTCCCTCCTTGACGTGTGCTGGGATCTCAATCTTTCTTACATCCTTCTTCTCCAACTTGTGTCCTTATTTCTGCTCTTTCTTTGCTTCATATGAGGAGAGATCTCATCAATCTATTTATGGATTAAATGATACTACAGGGGCAAAGAGAAAACTTTCCCTTCATCTCCTGAAAGTTCACTCAAATGAACTGACAACAGATTATTTGGAGAAGATGGTGTACAGATTCATTAATGTGCATAAGCACAGGGGAGGTTGCAGGAAAGAAACCTGCCCACAATTCAGTGAGGTCTAGATGTTTGGATAACTTTCTTCATAGGGGAGATGGAAATAAAGGAGGTAGGAAAATGGGAGGGGGTGGTTTATCACAGTAATGGGAAGATGAGGGTTGGAACTTCACTGTGAGCAAAAAGTGTCTTTTTATTTTTATTCAGATAAAGTTTCCCAGGTAATCTCTCAGAGCCACTCTCAGAAGATGAGATGAAAAATGAAGTCTTTCATTCTTTCTCATGGTCATCTTTCCTGGTTATTAGT